AATTCTTTGTGAAGATCAGGACTGGAATTTGGCTCTCTGAATCAGAAACAGAAGAACGAGAAGCGTCCAAATCGCAGTTCCGCCGCGCAACCGCGGACTCAACCGCCGCTTCCAGATCCGCTTCTGCCGCGACTTCGTGCTCCCTCCTAAATTGGGTCAACACCCCCATGGTTTGCATCACCTTTCATTTTTCCATTTTTCTTTTCTTCTTTTTATTTTAATTGATTTTCTTTTGTTTTATTTAATTCACCAAAATTAATCTTAATAATAACACAAAACCAAAAAATCAGAAATCATTAAAAAATAAAAATATGTTTTATTTAATTTTTTTAATTCTTTAAATAGTTTTTGTAAATAAATTCCAATAAAACAATTAGTTTAAATTTAGGTTTTTAACTTTAATGTCTTTTTCTAAAATAATTATAAAAAAAACATAAAAATTAGGTTATTAGTATCTTTATTCTTTTCTCAATAAATAACTTTTTCTCCTTATTATTATTATTAATTAATTTTGTAAATAAATATGGCATTTAATTAATTAGGATAAATTAGGTTAAAACTTAAACATTTTTTTTAATTAAAAACAAATTTAGAACTAGGCTTTTATTTTATTTCTAATTTCAATTAACTTTCTTTATTTCATAAAATACCAAAAAAAACATAAAAATAATCTCTTTTCTTTATTTAATCATTAATCAATTTTCAATTCCAATTTAATTTCCTTAAAGGGTCCAACGCCCTCGCACCTTCGATTATAATTACATTTCACGCATTTGCTTTTTATTTCCTTTTTAAATTTCATGTAATTGCCCCAAAGCCTTGTAATAGACTAATTAGGATATTTACTTTCCGCATTTTATTTATTCAAATCGGGTCTTGGTTTAATTTGGCGATGTAGACCCGCGCCTTTGTAATAGCGTATGACCTTTATCTTTCCGCATTTTTATTTCCGCACCTTTTAAACTGTTAAAACACATGAAAGAATGAATGCCAAAAATAAAATCAAAGCGTAGATCACCAATGCATGACAAGACAAATAATAACTGAAAATGACACATAATTCACACACCACTCCTAGGGTACGCCTCACTGTTGCCTTGCCCCTCGAAAAGTGGTCGTCGAGTATAGGACATTTTAGTAAGTCCTCATGTCCATGAACATGGCATGGGGGTAGCTTCTAAGGTGTCCTACTATTGCTCTGGTGACCACACTGTTGCCTTGCCCCTCGGAACGTGGTCGTCGACTATAGGACGTCTTAGTGAGTCCTTATGTTCCATTGATCTAGTTGCCTCGAAACGGTTGCCTCGGAACAAGTTGCCTCAAAATAGTTGCCTCGGAATAAAAGATCAATGGCATAAGGGTAGCTCCTAAGGTATCTTACCGTTGCTCGGTGGCTACACTGTCCCTACAAACGAATTGACGCGAACACCTCCAACGGTGGTGCTACCTACCTCTCAATGGTGGGATGACACTACCTTAAGGACATTTACACAGCCTAATTCCTTAGGGTGGGTAGATAACTCGTAGATACTTGCTCTAATTCAAAACAAATCAAAAACTCTTTTCACACCGACACTTTTCAAAAAGCTTTCAAAACAACTTTTCAAACACTCTTGAGGACTGATACAAGAGTCGATCTGAAACTTTCAAAGAAACTTTTTCAAACCCACTCACCTTGAAAAGCAAACAAACATTTTGAAAACACAAGTGAGCAAGTATCTAAGAGCCCATGGATAACCATGGATAGAAAGGGTGCTAACACATTCCCTTTCTATAAATCTACCTCCCGAACCGAGAACTAATCTCAATAAGGAATTTTTCTGTGCTTTTGTCCTTTCCATTTGGAGAAAATAAAAGACGGTGGCGACTCTTGCTTCCGCGACATTTCGCGAAACCAGCGTTAAACAGTCAGTTCCAGATCCACCGATCACAAGATCCTTGTAAAGGGGAGTTCAAATTTTGAACATTATCTGAAACCATTACTGCATTCGACGTTGACTGGTATCCTGGCATCATATAATACGACATTCCATAAACAAGATCCACATTACCAAAACGAGGCACATTAGGTATGGTGGTCGTAGTCATTACAGGCCTTGGGCTTCCCGATGGAGCCTTTGAAATTTGTGCGGAACCTGTTGCAGTTGACCCGACTGGAGGAAAAGGTGCAACTTGAGAAACTACTGGATCAGTAGTAGTTAAAGTTCGTGACGGTATTCTGTCTACGTTTGGATTATCAGGAATTGTCATTCTTGATATATGCTTCCTAGATGATGGTTTATTATACTCTTTGGTTAACTTTCCATTTCTAAGTTGCATACACTTAAGACAAATTCTTAGCACTGTGTCCCACTGGGCGGGCCAATTTGTTTACTATGGAAAATGGTAAACAACCGCTGGTCCTCCCAAAGTCCTAAAACTAAGGATAACTCACGAGACCGACCAGTTGATCTTAAGGCATCTGCTAAGAGTTTTATTATTATACTTATTCTATCAAAATCCTTATCAAGGGAAATGGTTTTCTATGACTAAGGGAACAAGTATAACGACTTTCCACACTATGAATCGATCAACTGATTGGTGACTCGTGACTGACAGAAGGTATTCATATGAAAATAAGATTCAATAAACTAACTTACTAGTGACTCGTGACCGACAAAGAGCATTGAATTATTTACGCGAAGTAGAAAATAACGTAAAGACTTTGTTCGATAGTACATAGAAATAAAATAAAGTATTCAAAAGAGATAATTGAAAAAAATAAAAGATTTGCATTGAAATAAAAGTGGTGATTCACGTACATCAAGCACTTCTTCACTCTTTATTTCTTAACGCTCGGAATGACAGAGTTTTGACAAGTGATTTGAGCATACAAGTGAACACACCAAAAAACTACACTAAATCTGCTTATTTATAATATTTACAATGTAACTTCCTAGATGAAATCTACAGACAATATTAAAATCTTGAGACAACCCCTTCACTGGATGTCGCCACCTATTTGGCGCTTAAACAAATTTTAAACCGCTGGCAACTACTAATGACTTTGAAATTTAAATCTTCCCACTCCTAGCCTCTGAAAGTAAACCGCTTCTGACTCGCTTCGACACTTTCCCTTTGGAAAGATTTGAAAATCAACAACAATTCCTCAAAGTCCAGAAACCCTTTTGGTTGACAAAAACCAATTTCGACCATTTTCCTTGTCTTTCACCCTTTGGTCGACTAAACCAATTTCGACCATTTCTTAACATATATTCTTTTATTTCCTTTTGGTCTACCTGGATCAGTTTCGACAGTTTGGCGTGACATTCCCTTTAAACATTAAATCTAGTTTAATAAAACCAATTTTTCAAACACTTTGGCTTCAATTTCCCAAAAACCCTACTTTAGAGGATGACCCTTAGCTTATGAGAATATCCTCATTTAATACACGTGCTTGAATACCTTAAGATTTTTCAAGGTAACACCACTCACATGACAAATCTTCTTAGGGAGGTTCCTATAAGACTTAGGTTTAGGTAGAACTCTCTTACTGAGTTTGGGAGGATATATCTGGTATTTTGGTGAAGAAATATTTAAGGGAGACTTGACATATTTGATGATATGGTTTGTCACTCTTCAATAGGCTTGGCTCCATGTAGCAAGGTTGAATTTCCTTTTTTATTAGAAATGTCATATTTTCTTCTTGCTTTTGATTTATCAATCCAACAGTGAACACATTTCTTCTTGGTGCCATGGATCCCCTGGATGGATGATTGAGTGTCAGGTGTAGGGGGAAATATTGCGATGTATTTTGGAATGAGTTGTTTTGGAGGCTACCATTGTTGAAAATTATGAAAGTTAGCAATGATTGGATCAATAAATAGAAACGGTTGTGACGTTGCAACATAAGAGATTAGAGAAATCTAGTATGAAATTTTGCGAGAATCATGAGACGATTTCCATAAACGGCGCCACTATTCTGGAATCAGATAGAAAATAAGTGATGAACTATTCGATTCCTCGATGAGAGGTCTCTAGCGACTTGAGGGGGTGTACTTACAAGGTAAGCACTTCAACTTTCAAGTTAGAAAAGTGGGAGAGGTAAAACTTGCATGTATGTAATGAATTGTACCTTGGTATAATGCGAAAGTACACTTATTTAAGAACGATGAATACAACTGTATCTAGTGAGTACAACGTCTTGTGTGGGGGATATTGGGTGAGCTCAATGGTTTAGATGAAGTGATTCCTTGCTACAATTTGGGACGGTCTCATGAGAGAGTACATATTCGTCACTTTGAGTGGCAATGAGATTGGATTAGAGAAAATATTGTTGCTTCTAAATTATCATAAAATTTAAGTAATTGATGTTTTAGTGTTTTTAGACATTGATACTTATTCATAATTTTTTCGTTATTTGGTCACTACCAAATCAGATTCATTTTGAGGATTCCTTTGCTATAAAAATATAGGTATTGATAAATTAAACTAGAATATTAGTCATGATTTTTATTTACGTTAAGAATATATAAATTTTAGGGTTAAATGTGTTTTTAGTCTCTATAAATATACCAACATTCAATTTTAGTCCCTCTAAAATTTTCCTTTAAACAATGGTCCTCGTAAACTTTTTAGTTCCTAAAATTGACCCCTCTTGTTAGTTTCCACTAACGGAGGCTTACATGTAACATCTTTATATCTCTCACGTGGATATTTCTATTACTAATTCACAAGGGAGGATGTATTGATAACGTTATCAGATTACCATATTATACTTACCATCTTGATAAACTTAAACAAATCCAATTTTTCCAGCGAGAGTGAGTAAAGCCCTAGAACAACAAACTCTTCATCTACGTTGAAAACTTCTATGTGGTCCCGGAACAAAGTTTCTCTCGCGTGGTCTCAACAACAACTTTGTCGTTGCCTTTGTTCCCTCACTTCACTTGCAAGCAAGCGTGGTCCTAGTTAGTCACATTCAGTAGTCCCAGGTAATTCACTTTGTTGCAAATTTAGTAATGATAAGGTTAGATAAAGAAGCATTCTTCTGTTATTAATACCGGTTTTATATCAGTAGTCATATATAAGTAGTATTTCTACTGCATACCGTATTTGTTTGACCTAATTTGGTAAATTTTAATCCTAAGTGAATTTATTGAATAAGAAATGGGTAAATTTAAGGCTGTGTTCTACACATAGGGTAGTTTTATAAAAGACCCTAACATCATATATGATGGTGGGGAAGTATATGTATTTAGTAGTCAAGATCCCAATTATTGGTATTTTTTAAGCCTGTGAATTGGTGAAAGCAATTGACCCTGAGTTTGATGTTAATGTTGTTAAAATGTGGTGGAAACATGATGAAGGATCTCTTAAAGAAGATTTAAAACCATTTATAGGGATGATGGAGATGCTTCTGAGTTAGCTGTGTATGTTGTTGGAAATAACTGTGAAGTTGAGATATTCTCAGAGCCAAAACTAGTTACACGAGAGGCCGCCTTTATGAATATGGTTAAAGAGAAAGGCAATGGGAAAATATGTGATGAAGATGATGGCAAATTAAGTGAATGTAGTGGTGATTCTAGTGATGAATATGTGATGGGTGTACACTTTGATGATAGTGAGGAGGAGGGGATGAAAGGGTTTGATGAAGGGGTTGATGTAGGTGTTGATGGTGAACCTAGAACTAAAATTGTTGCTAATAGTGATGCCTCAAATGAACTAGTCAAGAACATGTTTATCATAGAAGAAATGGGTAAGGAACGTGTCATTGAAGAGGACTACATGACTGATGAACTAGATAGTGGGGCTGATGATGACAGTTGTGTTAAAAGTCTATGTGTAATCAAGTTCAATAAAGAAGATGCTCTAAGTAAGGATTTTACTTCCAAGGTTGGAATGGAGTTTTCTTCACTGAAACAGTTCAAACATGATATGCTAGAGCATAATGTTTTGAATGGTAGGGATGTAAGGTTTGAAACAAATTATGCCAATAGATGTAAGATGGTATGTAAGGACAAAAAAATATAACTATGTTATCTTATGTTGTAGATTTTTAACCTCCACAACATTTAGGATAAAAGCAACATTTGCAAAACACGAGTGTGGAAGCCAATTCTTCAACAAAAATGCTAAAGCAGAGTGGGTTGCTAAGGTCATTGTTGATGGGTGGAAGAATAACACAAATAAGAAGTTAAATGAGGTGGTAGCAGATGTTAGACTTAGGTATTCCACTGAAATCCCATATTGTAGAGCTTTCAAGGAAAGGAAAATTTCTTGTAGAAGGATCTTTTCTCCATTCTTCTTATACACTTTCATAAACATCACTTCCTTGTGCAATATCGTCATCCTATATGAATAAATTGCAAGTTTCCTCATCTTTCCGAAACGGACATCTTCAGAACAGTCTCCCTTTATTATGTTTGTCCTTGCAATGGTATGATATCATACGAGCATTACACCCACATCTTCTCCCTGGATGGTTGCTCACACTTGTGGAATGATACGATACTGATTTGCTTCGCCTTGATGAACATGATATACTGTCATTATTTTGCAATGAACGAAGTGCAGTTGAAGAAGACAAAGAAGAATGAAAATAAATTAGGATTCAACGAAGAAGAAGAAACAGATGAAGAAGACGAAATAAAGTTAAAGAAGACGAAGAAGAATGAAAGGGATTAGAATTTAGGCGTTTGCCTTTAATATAAAACAAAAATAATTAATTTAATAAAAATCATACGTGTCAAAGAAAAAAAACACATTTTACATGCCACGTAAGTCTCCGTTAGTGGAAACTAACCGGAGAGATCAATTTTAGGGACAAATTTTTTTGCGATGACTATTGTTTTAGGGGTGGCAAAATGAGCCGTCCGTTCCGCCCCGCCTTAAGTCCGCCAACAAAAAAGGCAGGACGGGCAAGTCTTCCAATTAAAAGTTAGCTTAAAAAATCTAACCTGCCCCGCCAAGGTGACGGATTGGCAGACGGCAGGCTTGCCTGCCTTTTTTTAAATTTATTTTTCTTCATTTTTAAAATAAATTAATAGTTTTTTTTTTTAACATTTTAATTAGTTTTGAGGAAATGAAGATGAAAGAGTCTAAAAAGAGCCTTTCAATTACTGTTATAAAAAAGATGAAAGCATATAAAGACATGAGTTAATATTATGGTTGTGTGTAAATAATTGCGGATCATAGTAATAGTTAGTTCATGATTTAAAGATGATTGGATATAAATACCCTATTGTATTGCTATCGGTTGGCTTTTATTTTTCATGTTCATAGACTATCATACTATTGCAATTAGAAAATGTGAATAAAGTTCACGTTTCCTAGGTCATTACTTCATCATATTTAGCACACAGTGATTTGTTACTTTGGTTGATCATACTAATGTCATATTTGCTTTCATGGTTTAATTTAATTAAATGTGTGAATTTTTTTAAGGATTTTATTAAAGCTCTAACACAATTTTGAGATGTACATATGAATAAATATTACTAAAAGATGTAGGAGAATATTAATTTGAAATCATGAATCCAAAGTTAATGTTATTATAAGGTTCCTAAAGTCCATAAACAAATGAGTCAAGTAAAGAATAAATGTTTAGCACTACGATTGAGAGTTGTCAAGTTTGAATGAGGGTTGTATTTTTTGAATCCAAACTGTTAAATGCAATGATTACACAAGAATTTTATAGTGTTATAAATGAGAAAACAATACAAGGATTTTTCACATCATTCACATTAGGAAAAAAAATGAGCAACCAATTTAAATATAAGTAAAACATTTTATAGAAGTCAACATTAATTAAAAGTGAACTTCAGTAAAAACCATTTTAAAATATTTTGTCAAACACTACCTAGTTAAAATTTCCTGCGGGCCAGCCCGACGGATGCGTCGAACAGACTGCGACAGATAGGCGTGTGCACGGGATAGGTTTCGACGGATAGGCGGGTTTAAAATTCCAACTTAACACGTCATTTTTTGGGTAAGAAGGCCTAAAATCTCAACCAAATGATTGTTTGAAAGAAACTTTAGAAAGATTAAAATTGAATATTGGCATATTTATGAGGACTTATGGCATATTTAATGATAAATTTTAGACAAAATATATTTTTTAATTCCTTAACTATATTCTTGAGTTCAGATTTATCCCTTAATTTTTTTTGTCACTTTGATCCTTTAACTTTAACTAGAGGCATATGAGTCATTTTCGTCTACTTCTTTAGTCAAAATCTGTTAAAAATCTTGTGGACATGACCAACTCTTGCGATGTAGTTAGCATTAAAAAAACCGATGCTAAAAATTATTTTTGAATTTGGAGTGTTCACAGGATTTGGAGCGAGAAGATGCATTGGGGAGTTAACAAATCCAAGAAAATGATGAGTTTCCATTGTGAGTTTAGAAATCTCAGCTTCTTGTTCAACTTTCTGCAAAAGGGTCTTCACTTGACCTCTCAACAAAGCTTCACCGTAATCAGGTGTCTTCTTCATTCTGCTTTCCGTTGTTTCACAAAACTCGACAACAGTGTCTCAATCTCACCGTTCGCAAGCCCAACGATCGGAGAATCGTTCGATATGTCAATTTGTGCATACCGATCCTATTGTTGTGCTTGCCTCTTTCTTTGTCTTGATTTCGACAGACACTTCTTCGATTCCTCGATCTTTCATGAATCAAGAACACGAAAACATCAATATCCATTTTGAAAAATCCAATTTTTAAGATAGAAAAATCATCAATATATCATAAAAACGATTGAAACCCATCATCCAGAAACCATGACACATGAAATCGATCAACACCCATTTTCGAAAATCAATATTTTGATAAAAGAAGACGATGAATTACTTGAAAGTGAAATGTTGTTGCTGTTGGAAGCATACAAGACAAGACAAGGCAATCTTAATTGGAAATCTATTGTGTTCGGCTTCATTATCTTTTGTGTTATGTTTGATTATTTTTTGTTATTCTGCTTAAATGTTGTTGTGGGGTTTTAGATTTAGGAAAATTTGTTAATTTGATGAAGATGACTAAGAACAAAATTCAAAAATCTAGACATAATATTTAGTGTCGGTTTTTTCAACGCTAATTTTATCACAAGAGTCGGTCAAATCCACTTGACATTGTCACATAGATTTGTAATCGACTTTGACTAACGGAGTAGACGAAAAAGACTCATATGCCTCTATTTAAAAGTTAAATGATCAATGTAATACGAAAAAAAATTAAGGAATCAATATGAATCCAAAGATATAATTAAAGGAGAAAAAAAATATTTTACCTAAATTTTATATTGTATTGTATATTGATTATAAATTGACGGTTGATTAAAGCTTTGACCTAAAAATTGATTAAGGAAATACTCCTTCCGTAACGATTTACGAGTAAATTTGAGTTTTATTTTATATATTTGACAATTAATATATCTAATATTAAAAAAATCAAATTTACTTAATAAATGGTTATAGAGAGTATTACTTGTATATAGTTCATGTTACAAGAAGAAGAAAAAGGGTTTTATCAACCGCATTGATCAAATTATCATTCCATTGCTACACATTCAATTGCAAAATTAACTTCGTTTTGATTTTCACATAAAGTAATAAATTGATTATCAAACAGCTTAGCATTCAGAAAGATAAATTGATCATTTCATCAATTGCTTCTACAGAAACAACTTAATATGCATAACCTGATACTACATCTCATAAACCATCATCATTGATCTTAGGCATTTTATTATTTTCTCAAGTTCATACCTAAAACGTTATTACATCATGAACTTTCAAACACAACACTTAGAGATAGCCTTTTTCCTTACAACATTGAATCGCATCGTCGAACATATCACCAACGCTATACTTAAACTCAAAACCAGCATCCACGAGTTTCTTCGAGTTCAAATGTGGTAACCTCGCACCTTTAACTTCCTTCAACTCACTAAAATAACAAAACAAAAAAATATATAAAATGTTAGTTATACAATAATCAAAAACATTTCAAATTTGTAATGAAGCATTTTCAATAATAGAACTCACTCTACTGATAGAATTTGAAATTCTGGATATTTGGCTGAAAAAAGTTTAGACATTTCTTCAATAGTTACAATGAATGGTGAACAATTGTATCTTCCTCTAGGAACATGATTCTCAAGTAGATATATATGTGCTCTAGCAACATCATCCACATGTACCATGTGAAAACGTATCACACCAATTTGTTCCTTTTTACCTTCACATCACAAAAATTCAAATTATTATGTTAAATAGCACAGACACCTCTAAAAAAATTGTATGTTTGTGTAAGTGTCTGTGTCTGCATCGTCTAGTTCTAGTGTCACTGCTTCGTAGAAAATCCATACCTAAGACCAAAACAAGAGCTTTGTCAATAGAATCAGGAAGCTTAGGACAAATGAAAGGACCAACAATAAAAGGAAGAATCAAAGTAACAACGTTGATCCCATTTTGTTGGCCGAATTCAAGCACTGCTTTTTCTGCTAGAGTCTTTGAAACTGCATAAGACCAAGCAAATGGTTTAACAGTTCTAAGCAAATCAACATCACTCCAATCAGTCTCGTCCAACACTTGTTTATCTTTGCCGTTGAATGAAACAGCTGAGCCACTTGAAGTGTATATGAATCTCTTCACTGTCTTTGAGTTTACACATGCTTTTAAAATTCCTAATGCTCCATCCACGGTTCTTTTTGTCACTATTTCTTCTGGTTCACTCACGGCAAAATCGATCGGTGATGCCGTGTGGAATATCCCAATGCAGCCTTCGACTGCTGTGGAGAAACTTTCTGGGTTGCTTAGATCGGCGTTGAAGAAATGTAACCTTTCAGTTGCGTCCGGTAGATTTGTGAGGAAGCTAATATCTCTTTTACCATCTGCTAATGTAAAAAACATACCGAAATTATAGGCATTAAATATTTTTAGTTACATTTAATGAATCAACTACAAACATTAATTAGTCTAAAAATTAAAAAAATTTAATTATAATAATGACTAAAATTTAAGATTTTTATTTTATTTTTATAATAGCGATCATGGAGATGTTAAGTATTTAGTCAAATAAGTGTCCTAGTTTTTAGGATAGTTTGTTAATTGATTTAGTCAAGTTTGTTTCCTTATTTTTAGCTAGAAGTGGGCTGTAGTTTGTTACAGCACGTTGGTTTTATTCTCTATTTATTGTACTGCAACTCACAAGGAATAAACATTCATTTCCAGAACTTCTATTTTCTCTATTTTGTTCCTGTTACATCTAACATTTTGGTTCAGAAGCAAATTATGCAAGCATGAATGTTTCCGGAAAAGGAAGTGTTCGATTGACAATAAAAGGAGTAAACCACCTTGTACGGGATGT